TCATACATCATCCTTGAGAATGCCTTAGATACGGAAACAATTTTATATTCCTCCATTAGCAAGTCATCCAATTTCTTCTCCTGTTCATGTTGCTTTTCAAAAACTTTAGTGGTCGAGGCTTGAAGTACTTCCTACAATATTCTTTTCTCTTCAACTACCAACACGACCTATTTCTACTACTTTTTTTTTATTGCAACGAGAAATGCTTGGCATGTTTCATACCTAACTCTTACTAAAACTTCGGATTGGGCTCAAGCAACCCATGCACAAGATGTTGTCTTTTGGATTTTTTGGTTAGGGAGCTTTTGTGATGGTTTCTGGTGGATGAAGTGGAGTGAGTTAAGGTCGGGAGAGATGAAATGGATTTTTTTTTTACAATTGTTGTTCTATCTTTCTTTTTGAATCTTCAAACTTCTTTGTATAGGTGCTTCATAAAAATGGTTGTTACAAATCTTTAAATTTTTCTCATAAGGATGTTTGGATTATCATCGTCTTCCTTCCTTGTAGAGAGAAGTATTTGTTGGTGCATTAATTGTATACATAAAATGCATCTCACAGAATTGTTACTTTTCATCTAATTAAGGAGGCTACTTATCACCGTTAAGGTACAAAACGAAAGGAATTGTACGTGTGTTCGTCGAAAATAACTTCATCTGAAACTTTACACATTTTGAGGGATTTACTTGTCCTTTCTTTGACAAAAGACATGTCTCCATTTCTTTTTGAAATACAAGTATCAAAGAAGTTTTTATTTCTTCAATTTGGTAAGGAATATCACAAACTATATGTCATCATAACTAATTGTTTATTTGGATTCATCTTACTATGTGATCTAAAAATCATTTTTTTAATAAAAATATCTGAATTTGTTAACATTAAAACTAATATTTTGAGAGGTCCAATATCATCTTTTAATCAGCTAGATAAAAGGAGTAGTGGATTCACCCATAGCAAATCAAAGTAATTAATTAAACTTAAATTTGTGTCTAATAACATTTGAATTTGAACCAACTAAAAAGGGACCTCGAAATCATCATTACATAAAAAAAATTTGGAACCATTGCATTTCCCACTAAAAGCACATAATGAAATCAAAAGCAAAGAGTTAAGGTTTTGTGTCCAAATCGCAACAAAACGAGAGCATTAATTGGAGAAGAAAATCTTCCTAATGAACTATAGTAAGGGTTAACGGAGGGTGGATGGAGAATGCAGAGATATATTCATATCTATATATAAAGGGGATTTCTTATTTTGGTGTACACTTTATTTGAGATAATTTTAACTTTTTAAATAAAAATAAAAAATTATTTAATGAAAATCATGAAAGGTTACAAAAGTTTTTGTATATAATAACTCCCAACTATTCTATTTTGGTTTTCCCTCTTTTTATAGTGTTCCCTTCTACCCATTAAAGGTTAAGATGATTGGATAAAACTTACATGCAGTATTATAAATATTGTTGATATTATTTTATAATCAGAATTTAAGTTTTATCTTGATAATATATATATGATAACAAATAATGAAATTGTTTTTATTTTATAATTTACCAAGACAAAACTATAATTCTAATTAGAAATATAATATATTTGATTTTGTTTGTTTAAACTTTTTTCTTCTATAAAAGTATTTTTTTAATAAAATAAACACTTCTTTTTGTTGTGTTTGTTTAATTTTTAAAAAAAATTTAAGTAGTTTTTTTTTTAAAGAAGCAACCTCTATCTATTTCTTAAAGAGTAATTGTTTATAACTAATTTTATTTAAGTTTAAACAAAGAGACCCTATATCTAAATTTATACTTATAAAAGTGCTTATTTTTAATAAAATAAACTTTTATTTTTTTGTTGTGTTTGTTTATTTATTTATTTTTAAAATAAGTAAGTTTTTTAAGAAGCAACTCTTGTCTATTTATTAAAGAGCACTTATTTATAGTCAATTTTATTTAAGTTTAAACAAAAAAAATCGTATATCTAAGTTTTTCCCTTTATTATAACTAGTATTTCAGTATGTGTAATGGAAAAGCTAAATATTTATTATAAGCAACTAAAATTTATAATAAATCATATATAAAAATAAATATTATGTTTGAATGTATAAATTATATTTAAAATTTGTATTTTAAATGTATAAATTATATTTTAAATTTTTGACAAATAATTTATATTGTAGAACAATATTATTTTTATTTATTGATAATTTATGTTAAAATATTAAAATTTAATTCGTTAATAATTATAATAAATAAAAATTGAATTAGATAAAAAAAATTTAATTTTTTTTAAAATTTTCATTAAAGAAAAGTCTTTAAAAATATTATTATATAAGATAAAAATTCATATTTATATAAGACTCAATTGAATTTGGAATTGAGTTTTTCAGGACCTTCAATAAAGGAAATATAAGTTAAGGCGTAAGTAAAAAAATTAAAGTGCATCAACTCTTGAAAACAAAATTAAGAATCTTAATATGTTCTGTTTCTAAAAGCTTTAAATTAATAACTCTTAATTAGGGTGATATTCAACTCTTCAAATATGCTTTGATATTATAGGCTCCAATTTCATTAAGATTACATTATTTGATATACCTTATCTCATAGGATCACATTCCATTATGATTGTTTTATCTCTACTTAATTCCTTTCATACTATTATCCTCCCTCTTGTACTTAACAAATAAATTATAAACATTTTATCATTAAAGTCAACCCAACTCCTCAATTAGATATGGGAAGCTTAACTCCAAAAAAAAAAAAATAATCAACATATCATGGTCAAAATATTTATATTTCTGCGGATATTTTTAAATCACCACTACAAATTCGATAAATATTTTCACTTGATATTAATTCATCACACACTTACTTCTTGGAATGCTTGTATGCTTGTATTAGGACATTTTTTAACAAATAAAAACTAGAAATTTATTTAAGGAGTTGAAATAATTACGATGCAGTTCAACTAAGGATAGTAACAAATTCAATAAAATACTATATTAGTAATTTAGCATCATCCAATCGAGTATGATATTGCTGACAACTTACCAAAATTGTAAGGACATAGGATAGGAATGCCCGTAATGTATCAAAGTTTGATGTGAGTCACGAGATCGAGAAACACGTCCCATGTACCTTTCTGTGTAGGCCATGATGTCCCATAAGTCCATAACTATTCATCCATCACATGTAGATATTGGGATGAGTCATGTTATTCCTATCTCTATTCTAAAGTCCCGTTCACACCCTTTTCATCTTCTAAAATCTTATCAATTTTTTAACTCTTTAACAATTTTTATTCTTTATTTTCTTTCCCTTAAAATTATCTATGTGTGAATGTGAAAAGACTTTTTGTTTGTCCCCTGTGACTATTTCTTTAATTTGGCATCTATTTCTTTTCAACACCTAGCGTCTGCGTGATAGCGTCATCTTTATTTAATTTAACACATGAAAATTCTATTGGCACATTCATATATATAATTGATTATTAATATTTTAAAAAAAAATCTAACCGATCATTTCTAATAAAGTATCTTTTTCTAACTACGTATTTTTTAATTTTTTTTAAAATTTTCATTAAAGAAAAGTCTTTAAAAATATTATTATATAAGATAAAAATTCATATTTATATAAGACTCAATTGAATTTGGAATTGAGTTTTTCAGGACCTTCAATAAAGGAAATATAAGTTAAGGCGTAAGTAAAAAAATTAAAGTGCATCAACTCTTGAAAACAAAATTAAGAATCTTAATATGTTCTGTTTCTAAAAGCTTTAAATTAATAACTCTTAATTAGGGTGATATTCAACTCTTCAAATATGCTTTGATATTATAGGCTCCAATTTCATTAAGATTACATTATTTGATATACCTTATCTCATAGGATCACATTCCATTATGATTGTTTTATCTCTACTTAATTCCTTTCATACTATTATCCTCCCTCTTGTACTTAACAAATAAATTATAAACATTTTATCATTAAAGTCAACCCAACTCCTCAATTAGATATGGGAAGCTTAACTCCAAAAAAAAAAAAATAATCAACATATCATGGTCAAAATATTTATATTTCTGCGGATATTTTTAAATCACCACTACAAATTCGATAAATATTTTCACTTGATATTAATTCATCACACACTTACTTCTTGGAATGCTTGTATGCTTGTATTAGGACATTTTTTAACAAATAAAAACTAGAAATTTATTTAAGGAGTTGAAATAATTACGATGCAGTTCAACTAAGGATAGTAACAAATTCAATAAAATACTATATTAGTAATTTAGCATCATCCAATCGAGTATGATATTGCTGACAACTTACCAAAATTGTAAGGACATAGGATAGGAATGCCCGTAATGTATCAAAGTTTGATGTGAGTCACGAGATCGAGAAACACGTCCCATGTACCTTTCTGTGTAGGCCATGATGTCCCATAAGTCCATAACTATTCATCCATCACATGTAGATATTGGGATGAGTCATGTTATTCCTATCTCTATTCTAAAGTCCCGTTCACACCCTTTTCATCTTCTAAAATCTTATCAATTTTTTAACTCTTTAACAATTTTTATTCTTTATTTTCTTTCCCTTAAAATTATCTATGTGTGAATGTGAAAAGACTTTTTGTTTGTCCCCTGTGACTATTTCTTTAATTTGGCATCTATTTCTTTTCAACACCTAGCGTCTGCGTGATAGCGTCATCTTTATTTAATTTAACACATGAAAATTCTATTGGCACATTCATATATATAATTGATTATTAATATTTTAAAAAAAAATCTAACCGATCATTTCTAATAAAGTATCTTTTTCTAACTACGTATTTTTTTCTATCTAAGAAACTTGAATCCCTTCCTAAAGAGATATCAAACCTAGTTTCAGTTTAAAGATGAGGCGTTCTTAATGAAATAAATAAGAGAGATGGAAAATATATCACTACAAGTTGTCGTATATTGTAATTTAATTGGGTAGTTGTAATTATTTATTTATATATATGTACGGGGAACCCCATATTCTGCATTTATTGTGGAACACATCTTCTCTCTCATGGTCATCATCCATTTGGATTCTTGATCTTGTACTTCATTCATCGTCATCACCAATGTGCTATATATATAGGTTGTTCATTTATCTAAGTTCACACAAAGAAGTTTCAGTTAACGTCTTGATTTAGTCATTGACATCAACATAGTCATGGAAGAAGTTAACGGTATGTAGTTTTCCTTGGGGAGAGAAATTTCTTGTTATTATTTCTTTTCCTTTGTATACTTGGATTCTTTCATTTTAATTATTTTTCTCCTCTTAATCAACCAATTTCTTTCATCTGGGCAATTCCAGATTCTATAGTTTCATCTAATTTCCACTCTCTCAATCTTCATGAATCACTTGCTTGCAGCATGTGTTATTATTTGTCTGATTCATGTACCCAATTTCTCTTTCATTTTGTTTCCACTTCATCTTTCTTCTTTATCTCTTTCATTACTTCTCACACCTATAAGTTTTTCTCTCTTTATTCCTCCCTTTTTTTCTAACAATATTTAACCATATACACATCTTTAAGTATAGTTGGTGTTGTTTTTCGATCAATGTTCGAGTTTTATCTTAATAATATGCATAATTATACTTACAGGACTTGCATTTAATGCAAATACATACTATCAAAATAAAATTCTAATTCTAATTCTAATCGGAAAGTAATACCAACTGCATATAAGAATACATTTAAGTTTTGTTCTTTGCATTTTCCTTATTTCTGATTTTACTTTAAATTTTGATCCCATCACTCTTTTTATGGTTTGCTACTAGTTTTAAGAGTCCACTTGTCTTTTATTTTTGGAAATAAAGTGTCCACTTGTCTTATATCATAAAAAAGAGTAGTAAAATGTCATGTATACCCAGAAGGCTTATGCAACTTGCCCTGGTAGTAACAAAGTGTATAAATTAAAATTAAGCCACCCCAAATATGAAATATGAACTTTGACTTAAAAAATAACAGAATTGCTTTGGGATGGAAAGTATCATGCCACTCATCGATTTTCAATCTGATACATATACCCATAGAATTTGTACCATCAGTACAATTGTTCTAAAGAAAAATGCTGAATCATCATTATGCTATCTTCTGCTGATCATATTCATATACTATGTTTCCCTAAATACAGAATAAACACAACTTGCTCTATGATATGCGGATATCACAATCGTCTGCTGCATATTAAAGACAAGATGTCACAAATCTGTGTGATACAGGAAAGATATTAGCCTAAAAAATTGAAATATGAACTTTTAGTGGATTGGTGCATCCTTCAACCCGTGGAATTTAAAATTATGCAGTCGCTATTGTAGTTTGGTTTCTCATATATAATATATTATGAATAATTGCAGACAAATTCAACTGATAAGGTTGCAATCAAGGTTACGGACACTCCTAAAACTTTGACTTTAGAGACTAATTTCTCGAGTCAATGTTTGTTTATTTTTAAAACCTTGAGTCAATGTTTGAATTTTTATTTTCCTAGTATTCTTTATAATTTTTGTGCTTTCTTGATCATCCAGTGGTTCAAACCAAGAATGGAACTGTCTCAGTAGCTTCTGCGTTTGCTGGCCATCAGGAAGGTAATGCTTCTGAACTATTTAGCTTTACTTTATTGCATTCTTAGTTTGATTATGTAGGAATCAAGGTTAAGATATAAGACATGCTCTATCTGAAATCAATTATGAACAAAATTAACTAACATGTGTAATAATTGAGAAAGTTGAAATCATTTAATTTTGATAATACTAATTAAAAATATTTTTCCTTTATATCATCCTTCATTAGAACTTGATATTAAAAATAATAAAAAAATGTCATAGAAACAGCTAGAATCTTAATTAAATGAAGAATATTTTGGAAATAATATTATTAAATAAGATAAAATTTATTGATATTTAAATCTATTGTTTATATATTTTTATATTTATATTTAAAATTGGAGGAACAGGTATTTTGAGGTACCCCTCTTGGAACATTATATTATGAAATTTTGGTAGCATTTTATTGATTAGCTTTTGATGTTGCATTGGCTAATTAGCTATACAGCAAAGAGACCACAAATTTTTAAGAATTGCTGTTGAAGAAGCGTATAAAGGGGTAGAAAATGCAGATGGGGGTCCCTTTGGTGCTATTATAGTTTGTAATGATGAAATAGTTGCTAGTTGTCACAACATGGTTCTCAAGAACACAGACCCAACTGCTCATGCAGAAGTCACTGCAATAAGAAAGGTGAAACTCCACAATTGATTTTCAGCTGCAATCTCTATCATATTTGTTCAACATAATTTGTCTCTGCTTAATATATATATAATTGTTTCAGTAGATGCCAAATGGAAACTTTGCTAGCAATCTTAATTTTTGTTCTTTATTTTGATATGCTGCTGCAGGATTTGACAACACTAATATACTGCATATGGTATCAGTTATATGCATACTTCAGGCTATTGGTGTCAATGGAAATTTTAATATCTAGTCTTTGTGAAGAATTCACTATCAGATTTTATTAATTTCTTGCTTTAATTTTTTGAGTTATGAAATTCAGTCAAAATAGAACTGATTGTACATTACTCTGTATCTTTTTTTTTTTTTTTTTTTTTTTTTTTTTTCGTTTTTGTGTTTACAAACATATTTTTT